GCCTCTTTCCCTGCTTCCTTCCCTGTCTGTGCCAGGCTGGAGGGGGCTCTTGCCGGAGTGGGGGTGATGCAGGAGTTGGTGGCTGGTGTGGAGAAGATCAGGTTTGACCTGGAGGCCGATGTGGAGCAGCAGCAAGGAGCTCGGCCCCTGCCCTTCCCGGGGGTGGACAGTAAGTTGGGGACAGGGTCCTGTCACAGCTCCCTGTGCTGGGGAGGGCTCAGACACCTCCAGGGCACCCAGACCTTGGCAGTGCCAGGTGAACTGAGCCCCAAGTGCCCAGTGAGTGCTTCAAACCTCCTCCACACCCAGGAAAGCTCCTGCTGGTGTGTCCCGAGCTGGGGGTGCTGGGAGTTTCTGGGTGCAGGGAGGACTGGGAGGGCCGTGGGGGACAGGCTGGCTGTGACAGGGGTGCCATGGCCAGGCGTGCAGGGCCCCTCCAGGCGTGACGGCGGGGCCAAGACCGCGGTGTGCAGGCACTGGCTGCGGGGGCTCTGCAAGAGGGGCGACGGCTGCGACTTCCTGCACGAGCACGACGCCACCGGGATGCCCGAGTGCTATTTCTACTCCAAGTTTGGTAGGTGCAGGACCGGGCTGTGCGCCCAGGAAAGCCTCTTCCCACCCCTCGCGGAGCCTGTCCCCTCCCAGCACTCGTGTCCCTCCGGGCTGGCCTCGAGCAAGTGCCTGATGCCACCTCCTGACTGCGGGAAGAAGTGCCACTGTCACCCTCCCGGGTGTTCCCCCGGTCCAAACCCGGGTGCTCTCAGGGCACCCCAGTTCCTCCCATCCAGCCCATCCCTGAGTGATTCCCGCTCTGTTTTGTTTATCCCACCTGTCCCACCCCTTGTTTCCCGCAGGCGAGTGCAGCAACAAGGACTGTCCCTTCCCGCACGTCGATGCCACCCCCAGCACCATGGGCTGTCCCTGGTACGACCGCGGGTTCTGCAGGCACGGTGAGCTGCTGGGACGGGGGAGGGTGGGCAGGGGCTGCCCGTGTGCCCACCGGTGATGTGGGGCCGGACCCCGCTGCTGGCACAACCTCCTGCCCCCTCTGAGGTGGTCGAGCCCCAGCGGGGTGACCCGTGGCGTGGCTGGGAGTGGGACAGGAACCCAGTGGGGGTTTGGGGCAGCAAAGAGTTCACCGGGGCTGCTGGGAAAGCTGAGCTCCCAAAATCCCGGTGTGACGTGTCCCTGCAAACCTCTGCTCTGCGTGGCAGGTCCCCGGTGCAAGTACAAACACACACGGAGGGTGATGTGTACCAACTACCTGGTGGGGTTCTGCCCAGAGGGACCCAAGTGCAAGTTCGTGCAGTACGTACTGGGCAGGCTGGGGGGGCCTGGAACACGGCTGGGGGGGACAGTTCCCTCTCTGAGGGGGCAGAGGTGGCCCTGTGGTCCTTGCAGGGTCAGGGATGAGGCTGCTTTGGGACCTGAACCGTTCTGGTCTCTCCCCACGTCCAACCAGGGTTTGCAGTGGGTGGGCAGGGAACAGTCCTGGTCCCCATGGGGGTGCCTGTACCAGCCCCAAGACATCCCTGAGAGGTTGTGGGAGCCACAGGAGGATCTGGGAGTACCACAGGGATTAACTGCCTGTCCTCTGTGTCCATTCCCAGCCTCAAGGCTGGGCTGATGACGAGCAGCACGGATCCCTCCAAGGTGAAGCCCTTTCCTCTGCGCATTGGGGTGATGCTCCAGCTGCCCCACAGCTCTTGTGGGACAGCAGCTGCCAACTGCCCCTCCTGCCCCATTCCCCCCAGGAAACTGGCTGTCCATGGGGGCTGGTACAGCAGGATCTGGCTGCTGGTGAGGAGAGGGGAGGCGAGGACATGCCATCCACAGAGCCACCTCCACGAGTTACACAGCACATGGCAGCACATCTGTGGGACATCAGTGGCTGCCACCCGGGCCCACAGAGCCTGCTGGAACGAGGCACCTGCTCCAAGGTGAGTGTTTTTGGGAATGGGAGGGTTGGGAGCAGTGTTCTCCCCTTGGAGGGTGATGGTGAGGGACAGCATGTGGTGTGGGGACAGGCTCCCACAGTATGCCCAAAACAGCCTTTGTCTGGAAATATGCATTTTCCCTGGGTTTTTTTGGGCTCTGGAGTCTGTCCCTGGAGAGCTGGGGTGGGAACCAGCTGGGAAGGAGGGATCTAGTGGGATTAAAATAACCTGACTGCAAGGGGAGGGACTTGGGTGGTGATAAACCAGTGGGAGAGCCCCAGAGAGCAGAGAATCCCTCTGGGTCAGAGGTTTGGTGCAGCTGGAGGTCTTGGGGTGCTGTTTCCAGATGGGAGCTGTGCTGGAACATGGCACGGCTCCAGGAACCCACTCCCTGGGAAATGATGTGAAAATGAACACGTGGGGATGTGGCAGAGGGTTGATGCAGCACAAATCCAATGCCTGCCTCTCCCTGTGCCCCCAGAGCGGACAGGTCAGTCCCTACACTGGTGAGAGTGGGAGGACTCAGCTGGAAATGCTGCTGGGGAAGTGACTCCAGTGGTCCCACACGGATCAGGGAAGGAGGACACCCTAAAACACGATGGAGATGGAGAGACAGCACCAGGGCAGCTGCTGGACTAGAAAAGCCAGTTGGGATTGCTCAGCACCAGCTCACAATTTGCACAAGCAGCAGAGAAATCACTTAATGCAAGGAAAATTGGACTTCCCACAGCTGGCTCTGGACAGGCCGGGCCAGCAGCAGCAGCAGCACCTCCAGGTTTGAAGGGACTGGCTTGTGCCAGGCCCTGGGCACGAGGGTGAGGGTGTGCTCATCCCCTGGGAAGGGGGCACAAAGCACCCTGTCTGAGATCACAGACCAAGCAGGAAAGGAAAATCCACAGAGGTTTTTATTGCTGGTGAGAGAATTTCTCGTGAACCACCTCCGACACAGCACTACTGCACCTCGCTGAATAAAGAGCTCAGATCTTTAATTCTTGGCTTTATTTTTCATGCCTGCAACATGACCAACCCTTTCCCAGACATGTTTGGGAATGGCAGGCTCCAACTAGCACTCCTGTCTCCTTGTCTGTCTGATGCAGACACGGGTTTGCCCTTTGGGCACAACAACTCCTACAATGGATGTTTCTCCTCCAGAAATAGGGCACTGTGGTCTGAGCTGGTACTTTAGTGCCTTCCCAAAGGTTCTGACCAGTCCCACCAGTACACGGGGTGAGTATAAACTGGGCTTTGCCGGGGGAATTTAAAGGGAATTGTTATTGGGATTGAAGCCCACCCTGCCACAAACCTCACTGCTACAGCATAATGTCAATTAATCTCTAATAACAGCTCAGGGCAGGAGCCTGTCCTGTGTCTGCCGTGCCAAAGCGAGGGATTTGGGATTCTGCAGACTCCAAGAGCTCTACTGCACACATGGATCTCTCAGGGGTAGCTCTAATGCTTCTTTATTTCTCTACTGAAAGCTCCCTGACCCACAGAGGGGTGACCACGGGCTGTCACTGTCACCCCTCTGCTGCACGAGGGCCCCTGCCAAGCAGCCCCCCACCTTCCAGCCCCTGTCCTGACAGCAAACAGGCCTCTGTGCTGGGAATCTGCTGGGACACTGGCTGTGAGCACTTCTGCTGCCTCCCAAGGAGCTGTGACCGTCCTGTGGGTGCTGCTCCAGCTCCTTCAGTGGTATTTACGCCAGCGGTGACGCTCTGGAAAAACAGGGAGAGAAACATTCCAGTGTCAGCACAAAGGGATGTTTGGGGGCCCCAGAGGTGGGCTCTGCCCAGTTCCTGATGAGTCTCACTATAGCTTCTCTGTGCATGAGCAAGGGGAAACCACCCCACCACCAGCAAAGCCCTTGTCACTTGTGAGGAAATCCAGGGAATGGGAGCTCTGTGTTGGAACATCTCCTCCCTCTGCTCTGTGCAGGGTTTCAAAGTGCTCCTGACATTCCTGGTGCTCCCCAGGGAGAAGCTGTGAGTAAGCAACTGTTATCACCACTTTTAGTGACTAAATTCCTCTGCTTCCCTCCAGAACCCTGCTCTCTCAGCTCTGATATTGGTCTTAAGTGTGGACTATTTAAATTATTCCAGAGCTTTAATTAACAGGAACGGTAAATAGACTTCCCAACTGCTGCAAGAGGGAGAGTGCCTGAAATAAGAGAGACCCCAAGCAGGAAATCTTACTGAAGTGCTGATAGTTCCAGCTGTAGCTGAGCAGGCAGTACCCAGTCAGGAGCATGGAGATCCCAGTGTGTCCCCCCCTCCTCACGTTCATGTATTTGGCATAATAACTGTTCCAGGCTGTTGGGAGACAAAGGAAAGGGACAAATCATGTGCTGGTCTTTGGAATTCTCTGGTTTCCATGCAATTTTACAAAGCCAGAATGTTGGGTCTGTTCATTTATTTGCACAGAGGGCAGGGTTAGATGGGATACTGGGAAGGAATCCTTCCCTGGGAGGGTGGGGAGGCCCTGGCACAGGTTGCCCAGAGAAGCTGTGGCTGCCCCATCCCTGGAAGTGTCCAAGGCCAGGTTGGACAGGGCTTGGAGCAACCTGGAATAGTGGAAGGTGTCCCTGCCCATGGCAGGGGGTGGAACAAGATGAGCTTTAAGGTCCCTTCCAACCAAAATGATTCCATGATTTGCTGCTTTATTAAGACCCAGGGTGGCCACTTGGACAAGGCTGCAGCAACTAAATCAGGGGAGTGGGATGACTCTGCCCCAGAAGGCTGGAATTCTCACCTTTCTGCACTGCTCCAAGCAGTCCCTGGGGAGAGAAGTCGCAGGTGCTGATCCAGGAGTGCAGCTCCCCCAACCTCACCTCCATCAGGGGCCTCTCCGAGAGGGGACCTGGGGGGTGACAGTCACAGTGGGCACAGGCAGGACAAGGTGTGGGGTGTTTGTGCTCCCTGTGCTGTGTGGGGAGCTGGGATCTGACATGGGATTTGGGGTTGGAAGCGGAGAGGGAATTGTCTGTCCCGCAAAGTTTGGGCTCCAGCAGCCCAAACGTGCAAGAACCTGACTCCAACCTACACAAAAACATGAACCGTTGGTTTTGCAGGCTGGAGGAGGCACAGCTGACCTCCTTGGCTTCTCCCGGATCCCTTCCTGGACAAGCCCAGCAGGTCAGCATTCCCTACCCCTCCTCTCCCATTCCAGCCTGACAGTGCAGCAAATCCCAGCACAGAGACTTTGGTTACCTCGGTGTCCCTCGGAGAAACTGCCCCTTGGTGCCTTCACTGTGATCCCCACATCTTCTTGGAAATGCTTCCCTGGAAAGATCCTCAGGCCCTCGTGCTCAGGATACAAGTCTGGAAACCACTCCAAGCCTGTGGCTCCTGCCCAGGTGCTCCTGCCAGAGGCCTGGGATGAACAGGTGGGCTGGAATTTGGGAGAGTGGAGGCAGGACTGGTGCAGGGCCAGCCCTGGGTCTCTCCCTGTGCCCAGGACGGGCTTGGACACTCCAACCATCTGCTCCCTGCTGTCCCTGAGCCTCTCCAGGCTGCTGAGCTCATTCTTGGATGGCCCTTCACTGTGACCTCCCAAACCCTCCGTCACTGACAGATGGAGGTTCTTGGGATGCAAATCAGACACAGGGGCTTTATATCCCACACCAACTTCCCGGTGCACCTGCTCCTCTCCTGCCATGGATTTGTCTGTTCTCTCCTGCTGAACGAGGTCACCGGGGCTATTTCTGCCCTCGGGGGGTTCTTCAAGTACTTTTGTTGCCTTTAAGCTGTTTTTTCCTCCCTTTTTGCTCCCGGGCACGCCCCTCACAGCCCCCAGGCTCTGAGTCTCCTTGTGTGTGGATTTTGGAGCGGTTTTGCCCCGCTGTGGGTGGGCAGCACGGCCGGGAT